TCAGCAAACCACCATGGCACATGTATACCTGTGTAACCAAACTACATTCTGCACATGTATGCAGAGCTTGAAGTATAATAAAAATACATTAATGTTTTAGTTGCTGATTTCTGATTATTAATTACATTTGTTTCTGAAACACAAAAAGGCAATTTCCCTCATTGCACTATTTTTAAACTTAATTTTCAAGTAGTATTGGGGAGGAAAAGAACAGTAAATTTAGAGACAGAGAACAGATTAAAAACTCTTCAATTCAGCTCTCTCTCAGCTGTCCTTCTCCCCCTCTCCCAAACACACACATTTACTATATGTGTGACTTTAATTTAATTACATCACTTCTTTAACTTTGGATTTTCCTTCTAATGCATGGAGTTTAAGATAAATGAATACTATCTTAGAGATGTTTTGTGAGAATGACTGATATTCTGTATTAAGAGATATGTATAAGTTATTACATAAGTGAAAGGTATAAGTACTGTTTTTGATAACAATGATACACTTCCTTTTAGACATATCTGATCAAATTTCTACAAACTAAACTTCATCAGTTCTATTTTATTTTCCCCTGCTAGGAATATGTGTACATGAATGTTAAGAAAATAATGCCACACCACTGCGATTAAAATGGTAGACTTCTCTTCTACTTTGGCTATCACCTCATTTTCATACACATGCCCCTTCCACTACTCCCAATGCTAAGCATGCAGTAAATAAATCTGAATACATAAATAACACTTGACTCTATTAAAAATAATGTAAAAAATCCTAGCATACAAAATAGATTCTGGAAAGTTCAATGATGCATAAAGTTTCAAATGAATGACAAATTCCACATCAGTATCCTGAATGATGATCTCATCAGGAGGCAAATTGTGTGATAATTTCCACACAATCTATTTGAAAATTTAATTCAATATATGTATAAATTGATTTAAAATAAATGTACCTTATGGCAGAAAACACATCAGAAAAGTATACTATGATGTATTATTTGATCATTTATTTAATCATAGTTATTACATGTGTATCAGGCATAAGCTACAAACAATTGGGTAGTGACACTTACCTTCAAGAAACATAGTCTAATAAAATACATGTGTATACTACATAGTTATAATAGAAATTGACATGTAAACGTTTTCATATATAGGACAAATATCTACAGATGTTCACCAACAGGAAAAAAATCCCTTTGTACAGAGATATGACCATATACATATCAGAAAAAGAGAATATTTGATCTCAACAATATCATAATAAATGGAGGCAGAGGAAAATAATTATTGGAGATTATCTTAAAAGAATAATATGATCAGTGATTGAAGAATGTAAATTATACTTGTGGAATATTTGTAGGTTACATGAGGCTTGAAAAATTTTGGAAAAAAGAATTTTAATCATAGAGCACCAGGTTTATAACACAGGTTATATAGAATTATAAAAATAGTGAGCAAAGATAGAAATGAGTGAGAGTTGTGCTTCACAAAAGATTTCCTGGCCATCCATGGGCAGGAGGTTTGTTATGAAAAACCTGGAAAGGTGAGCTCAGTTCGAAGTCTATACAGGTGTCTGTTCTGAGGGAAATGAAGAGAGCAGTCTTTCAGTTCCTCAGCCAGTCAGTCAGTGAGTCAAAATATATATATATATAATATAAATATAATTGTAATATATAATAATTATATCTATTATATGTATTATATTTTAAATATATATTATATATAATATATATTTATATTTATATATCTGACATTTAATTCTACATATTCTATATTATATATATATGTAAATATTCACCTCACAAGTTCAAGCAATTCTCCTGCCTCAGCCTGCCAAGTAGCTGGGATTACAGGCATGTGTCACCATGCCCAACTAATTTTGTATTTTTAGTAGAGACAGAGTTTCTCTATGTTTTGTCAGGCTGATCTCGAAGAGTCAAAATATATTTTGAAGAACATTTAGTTGTGATGCATTCAACTGTGTAAAGAGGCTGTCATGGTGGACAAAGAAGTATAGAAGATAGATATTAAATATGCATACAAATAAACACAAAATTGTCATTGCTTAAATGTTAAGGAATATTTGAGATAACTTAGGAGTCATCGAAAAAAAAAATATGGAAGCAAAAAGGAGGAAGCATTTTGAAGGACTTCAACTGAGATGTGTTGAGTGTGAGGCACTGCCAGAATAACAAGGTGGAAGTGTCTTCTAGGCTGTTATAGGTATGCAGCTCTGGGAAGGAGATATATTTGCACTACAGATGTGTTGGTCAACTGCATAAAGACAGTAGTTGAATCTAATGGAATGAATGTGCTAACTCTGACAGAAATGATAAGAAGACAAAAAAATGGTGAGAAAAACATGAATATTTAAACTATTGATTCTTTGTTTATGAACCTCTTTTTCCAACCAAGTCTACTGTAAAAAGCTATGTACATCTGTAAAAATTTCATTTCCCTACTTATATGAAATTGTAGGTTCAATATCTAGTAAGTCTCAGTTTTAGAAGACAAAATAACAGCATGGAGATTTTTTCTTATAGTTAAATGAAAGTTTACAAAAGAATGTTTATCTCCTGTTTACAAAATGCTTACACTGTAAAACAACTCATATAATACATAATCTATAAGCAATAAATCAGGGATTGACTGTTGGTCATATAATAAATAAGTATGCCAAAAGTCTTAGATGAATCCTCTTGTTGTTAAATGGAATTTATTATTTCTACAAGATTTTTCATGGGACAAAGATCAGTGTACAGTGATATCCAGAGTTATAATAGCTTTGTCTAACTTTTACATTCCCATTGCAATGTCTTCTTTTATAAGGAAAGATAAACAGCTTATAGCAGTTTTACTTCAGTACAACATTTAAAATATCTACTTATTATGCAAAATATTTTCTACAAAGCACAATTAATTCATTATTGACACATAAGAGCTGTTCATTATAAATCAAACTCTTAGAATGTTTTGATGAATGCAAGCTATAAGTGCACAGTATTGTTCCCTCAGACCTGCAGAGCAAGCACAAAAACTGTCAGATTTTGAGTATCACTCAGAGGTTTTTTAAAAAATTCAAATTTAATTATATTAACACTGTCAGCTCATATAGAATCTAAGTCAGATCATAAAAATAACTAAAAGGAATATTATCTTAATGAGAACATAAATAATATATTATCCTTTGTATAATTGTACAAAAGAATGAGAGATAAAAGAGATGAATTAAAATGGCAAGTGTTTTCTTTGCAGTTTATGGTTAAGATTCCTGATTTTATCAGTCTTGCCAAAACAAACAAAGCCTTGATAGGCCTGAGCATTCAGAGGAACAAAGTCTATTTCACCACTAACACTTTTCTGAGTTTACTGACTGTTTTTTGACATTTAATTCTATGCGCAAAAACTTCAACTCTCTCTTTTTTTTTTGGCAAAAGTCTATTTATACATTTTGGGAAAAAATAACTGAAGAAACTAAAATTGGCATCAGCTATACCATCACAAAGTGGATGACATGAACATTTATTTTTCACACATCAGATATTAAACAAGTACAGATTTAAGTTAAGACAGTCAAACATATCAATCTAAAGTTTAGCTTACCACTCGGGACAGAACTGGCATGCTGAAGTTCCAATTGACTAGAATCGCCAGAGAGTTCAGTCAAACAGGTTAAAGCAAAACCTAAGTTGGAAGCATGTTCATGTCTGAAGCCTTCAGGAGAAAAATTATCCAGTTCAAATTTTAAAATTGACATTGCAAAATTCCCAAGTAACTATGTAAAGCAAAGTTCACACTACTGAATTCTTTAAAATCATGCACTAGGAAAAAAAAATCACAGTATTCTAATCAGTCATAACTATAGGCTTTCCTGTAATTCTTTTCACTTGGAAATCCAAAGGAAATAAAACACGGCAGAGCTGACTCTAGGTAGTTTTCTGTGTTCATGCCTTTCCTAGACAATTAACTTCAGTATGACGGATGAATTTTAGAGTTGTTTTTCTTGAAGGTATATTTTGCCTTTAAACCACAGCAGCACTCATCCCATCTCAGAGAGGCTGCAATGAAAAGTAAAATGGGCTAAGTGAAGACATAGGCAAGGCTGCAGAGAGATGCTTTCAGTAAGTTGGTACTAGAAGTTCTCACATTTCTGTATGCAAGAGATCAGCTGGGTGGGACTAAAGACTGTCAGGGAATGCAACTTTATTCCACTGGGTAGCTCATCTAAGGAATGTTTTAATTGGAAGGAAGTTAATACTAAAAGATATTTCCTGGATGCAGATTGTGAGACTGTAGTCTGGCTGCTTATTGAAACATGACTGTGATTGTGGAAATTAAAAGATTTCTTTTTAAGCTGTGGTCAAATGAAATGTACAGCCTGAGAAACACAAAATGCTAGATTTCACAATTCAAGCAGGCAATCTATAGAAGAGCAAATTGCTAAAACGTTGGCAACTGATGGGGCTGGTATTCTTGTATTAACTGAGAATTAAAACATCTGTATTGGTTCTCTCAGAAATTTAATATAAGATTTCACCTTTATTCATGCACTGGTCCTAGTCCATGAAACCTCTGTAGACTGCCAGAAGTGCACACTGATATTTTGTCAGAGACTAATTTAGCTAAAGTTATCCTTTAGTTTAGGGGTCCAAGCTAGATGAGGTCCAGAATTTCCCTTATGGTCTGTTTTAATCTATTAGTTATTCATTAATTTGTTGAATGGCATATTTAAAGCATTTTAACTGTCTTGGCTCAGCACTCTTTGAAAAAGATACACACACACATACATGTACATATACCTATATAGGTATTTGTGTATATATACATATATACTAGGGAATATATATATTTTATACATATATATATATATAGTTTGAAAGTCAGTTGTTATAATACAAAAAAGTATTCTGGACAAAAGCTGACATGTATTACTCATAGTTACAATAATTTAAAAAAAAAAACAAGTAAAGAAAACTGACTCTCTGCTCTATGTGCCTTCTGCAGGATGACTCAGCCAGGGAAATGATTGTCATTCCAACAGCATGAACAGCAAACAAAGTATGTTGTGCAAGCTTAGGCCAACACTGTTTCAAAACAGGCATGAAAATCTTTGACTAAAAAAGGGTAACATGGCCACTTTCTACTGGTAATTATATGATATTTTGCTTAGATAAGAAGTTGAAAGCAGAATCCACATTATAAATGATAATTCAGCTTAAGGAAAAGATGAGTGATAATAAAAAGGAAAACAAATATAGGGAAATGAGTAAATGGTAAAAAGTACAAACAGAATTTAGAGAAATAGATTCTAGAATCATGAAGCTGGACTTTTAAATTCTCAATTGAAGTATTAGTTATAAAATATTGTCAAGCGCACTTTCTGAAAGATGGACTCTAAATGGTTTGGTTTGAGAGTTGGTCAGTGAGGTTTAACTACCAGGAAACGTATAACTTCTATACCTCTGGTACATTTGCCCAAATCCTGAAGTGTTTTTTTTTTCTTTCAAATTATGTTTTATAGAATGTGATTACATAGAAATATGTTTTGGCATGAGAAGTGCCATTACAATCATCTGATAAATGATTCCCCTGGAGAAATTATAGCTGAGGTCATAGGATAGTCTCATTCTCTCTAGCAGCAGCTCTTAAATGTTTTAAGTATGAGAATATATTGGGGAAAAAAAAGAACATTTTATCTCTTTACATATGATACTATTATATTTTGAATATCAATATACAAAAATTGATAATCATATGAAACTTTTTCAGAAGTTTACTATCTTTTTTATTCATGTATTTACCTTTGAAAATTTGTTCATGTGTGAGAAACACTACTGATTTTGCTGTACGTCAATTGATAATATGTAGGTCAATTTTTCAGCTCTAGGCAACTACTTGATATGTCTTATGTAATAAGGGAAATTACTCATCCATAATACACAAGAAAAATAACATAATATATAAAGATTGACATTTCACTGATAGATATAATATAGATGAGCTAATTCTTTTTACAAATTCACCTCATTTTCTTTTCTACTAATGACCTAAGCAAAAACATTCCCTGGCCAGGCGTGGTAGCTCATGCCTCTAATCCCAGCACTTTGGGAGGCCAAGGCGGGCGGATCATAAGGTCAAGAGATGGAGATCATCCTGGCCAACATGGTGAAACTCCGTCTCTACTAAAAATACAAAAAAAAATTAGCCGGGAGTGATGGCACCGGCCTGTGGTCCCAACTCGGGAGGCTGAGGCCTAAGAATCACTTGAAAGCAGGAGGTGGAGGTTGCAGTGAGCCAAGATTGCACCACTGCACTCCAGCCTGGTAACAGAGCAAGACTCCATCTCAGAGAAAAAAATAAAAAAAAGATTTCCCTAAGGTCTCTGGAATGTTGGTATCAAAGAACTGATAGTTAATGTGGACACTCTAGAATGGGAACTCTCAGCATCTCTATATTCCTGAGTCTTTGGTGAGACCCTTTTAACTTACATGCAGCCTCAAGTGGACATTAAGTCTTCAATGACATATTTTCTCTAACCTCTTAGCTAGCACTTTTATTTAGAACAGTTGTCTGAAAATCTTAGGAAATACCTGTATAAACTTGTAACTCATGTTATTTTCATGATATACGAAATTCTTCCAACAGAACATGGGAGGAAATACCATACGTGAACATCTCTCCTTTGATATTTAACCAAACATATGTTGACATAGTCTAGATACAAATATACATTTTAAAATCTCTGGATCTGTCTGTCTCTGTTACTGTAGTAACCACTTACTGGCAATTATAATAACGTCAGGTCTCTGGTCTTCCATTCATTTCAAAGCATAAACTGCATTTATAAATTCTTCTCTTTTTCAGACATACTTAATTTTGATATAAATTATTTTGTTTTTTTAAACAGGCCAAAGTAACTTTATTTTGTTTTGAAAATGGTTGGACTTATTGTGAATAATTGCAATTTTAACTTAACCATAACAATACATTTTTAGAAAGGAAAAATAAGCTTGTTCTGCATGGTTTTCCACATACTATATATACAGGACATAGGCATGTAAGTCAGGCAATATATTTTCATTATCACAGATCCTTTGCTATCCTAAACATTGTGTGAGACAATTCATTACACTTATGGTTATTATTTTTCTGGTTTCAGAATGACTCTTTGAACCTGTAAGTTTAAGCCCATCACCTCCCCCAGAATGCCATGAACTAAGGAAAAAAATTTTAACGAAAACCTTGAGAAAACTCTGGAATATGTAGTGGAGGTGTAGTGGAGCTGAACAAACTGAAAAACAGGCACAAATCATGTGTTGAGTAAAATACAGGTAATTGCCTACAAACCAGAGTGTCTCCACTTCATTTGAACTGTGGTGTTCTGATAGTCTGATTTCCAGCTTAGGCATTCTGAAGGGAATCCTACATTTGAACCCATCCTGATTTATTTGCCACTCCTTGTGTGAAACTGGCCCGGAGATTTGAGCAATAGTAATGGGAACAGTGGGTAATAAAACTCACACCTCATACTGTATTAGTATTAACCAGATCAGATCTTGTTAATACTGATGAATGGCATAGAGAGGAAGAAAGAAAGAGAGATGCAGACACACACACACACACACACACACACACACACACACACAGACAGAGTAGTTTAAAAATTAAACAATTAGATCACATAAACTTTACCATATCATAGCAAATACTTAAAAGATAATTGTACTTCCAAGCTTCAAGTAGATTTGAGAGAATATTATATGCATATGTTAGTAAAAGTATGTTGCTAGGATAAGAGCAATCAGAGCAAAATAAAATTGTTGAAAATAAGTAAAAAACATGCCTTTAATCACTAACTCAATAAAGGCATTGGATCACAGGTGAATTACTGCTAGAAAACATAGTAAATGGTTAGAAAATCAATCTGAATAATTTATTTTGAATATAGAGTAAAACTTAAATTTTTACTCTATTATGATAGTGATAATAGGATAGAAAATGCAATAGGCATAAAATAGAAACTAAAAAAAGAATGGAAGCTATGATGAAAACATAAGAAAATGAAAACAAAAGTTTGTTGTGAGAAAATAAGTGCTGATTTTCAAATTGAAATGACTATGTTAATGTCAGGCAAAGGTAACAATTGATAGAAGATCCATCCCTTGGAACCAAACATATCTTGATATGATGTTAATTCCAAGTTTTAAAGCAAAATCTAACACGATTTAAGATTATGTTGAGAGTGATAGGAGGGATGTCGTGCAAATTTGACAGAATGAAAAATTTCTTCTCCTCAACATTAAGTGATAGAAGAATATAAAGAAAATTTTATATGTATCTGATTTAGAAAGATCAGGTCTCCATAATTAAAAAACATGGCAACAATGAAAGTCTTATGAAACAAGCAAGGCTCAAAAATACATAAGCCATGTTATCGCTAAAAACATTATTTGAGGAAGTACCCCAGTCAAAGGGGAAAACAAACAATATGATTCAGAATAAGGGATTCAAAAATAAAAAGAATTATAGCAAATAGTAAGCAAAAAAGGTTAATAAGAAAGGCTCATAAACTACTCATTTATGAGTAATTAATTGCTAAAAGTTCAATTCTGTAACGGAAATAGATTTCATAATTTTAAAATCCAGATTATTTTAACAAAATTTAGCATAAAGAAAACTTTATCATTCAAGAAAGCATAAGGCCAATTTATTAATTGAAAGGAAATAATAAAAAGGGTAAACGTAAAAATTGCAACAAATAAGTGAAAGTGGATTAAATGATCACACAAAACAGAGAGGGACTCAGAATTTCTCTACCCCTTCTTTTTCTTCTCTCTCTCTCATACACATTCCAAATCATATTCCAAATTCCAAATGGAAATATTATTTATGATAAATAAATTGCTTCATATTGAAAAAAGGTACAAATCACAAAATTTAATATAATATAATGGTTAAGGACATATAGATGTATGCATATAGACATATATATATGTGTGTGTGTGTATAAGGATGTTAAATAAATGATATATATGTATTCTTTATATATATATACAAAATGTTAAAAATGATATGCCTCCTACATCAGCTTTGACTATGGTGCAATACAATGATAACAAGTATCTATTTGAAAATATTCTAATACTTATGTCTTTCTTTTTTATTTTATTTTATTGGTGTTTCTTAACTGGCTGGTGAATTGAATACAATGTTGAAATGGTAATAGTGGGTAGTATTTTATTTTGAATGCAGAAATGTTTCAATATTTCATTAAGTATGTAGTTTTTGTATGTTTTCTGTAGATATATTTTATCAGATTAAGGACATTCCTTTTTATTCATTATTGGATAAGTACTTATTACTTTATAAATAACAAATGTGAGTTGATTTTTTCATCTTTTTTCCTTTTACTGTAATAAGTTGTCAAATTTAAAACTAATCTTTATTCTTATAAAGTAACCAACTTGGCCTTGATGTGATGATTTGTTATGTATCATTGGATTCATATACTAATACTGTATCTAGTTTTATGAGATAGATCAATATATAATTTTTTGTAGTCCTGGTAAGGTGTGGTGTTGAAAATTATGCTATCCTCATATATAATAGGAACTATTGATTTTTCTATTTTCTGAAATAATTTTTAAAATACTGATGTTATTTCTTTCTTAAATGTTTGCTAAAATTAACCAACTGAGTAACCTGTGGGTTTAAAGTTTTCTTAATTTGAAAATTCTTAATTATAGGTCTTATTTAACTGTTAGAAAGCTTTTTATTCTTGAGTCAGTTGTGTAATGTCTTTTTCAAGGAATTTTTCCTTTCTATCTACTTTTTTTTTTTTTTTTTTTTGAGAAAGAGTCTACTCTATTGCAAAGGCTAGACTGCAGTGAGTGGTGTGATCTAGGCTCACTTCAACCTCTGCCTCTTGGGTTGAAGAGATTCTCATGCCTTAGCCTCCTAAGTAGCTGGGATTATAGGCATACCCAGCTAATTTTTGTATTTTTAGTAGAGACAAGGTTTCACCATGTTATCCAGGCTGGTCTAAAACTCCTGACCTTGGCCTCCCAAAATGCGGGGATTATAGTCATGAGCCACTGCACCCAGCTTCTATCTACTTTTTAAAGTTTTCTAAATA